TACTGCTTTAAAAATAAAATCTTTATTAATTCTTTGAGAGTTTCAGCCAACACATTAAAATTTTTTTTTTATAATTTGATTTAATATTACATATCAGCCACGGATTCCCCTGTCCTCCCTCCTCCCCCCCCCTGTTCTCCCCCCAGCCCACACCCCATTCTCATCTCCTCCAGGGCAAGGACTCCCCTGGGGATTCAGCTCAATCTGGTAGATTCAGTCTAGGCAGGTCCAGTCCCTTCCTCCCAGGCTGAGCAAAGTGTCCCTGCATAAGCCCCAGGTTCCAAATAGCCAACTCATCCACTAAGGACAGGTCCCGGACCCACTGCCTGGATGCCTCCCAAACAGTTCAAGCCAAACAACTGTCTCACTTATCCAGAGGGCCTGATCCATTTGGGAGCTCCTCAACTATTGGTTATAGTTCATGTGTTTCCATTAGTTTGGCTATTCGTCCCTGTGCTTTTTCCAGTCTTGGTCTCAACAATTCTCACTCCTACAATCCCTCCTCTTTCTCAAAGATTGGACTCCCAGAGCTCCACCTGGGGCCTGGCCATGGATCTCTGCATCTGCTTCCATCAGTCATTGGTTGAGATTTCTAGCACAACAGTTAGGGTATTTTAGCCAACACATTTTTATCAGACCTGTTCACCCCCATTTGTCTCCTAAGATCCACCCCTTCTTGCCCACCAATTTCCAGCTTGTGTCTTCTGCACTTTTTCTGAAGATGCGCTGGTTCTCTGACTCTTTCAGTCTTTCTATCCCCTCTTCTTTGACATTCCCTGCCATACTTTTAATAGTCTTCAGCAGGGGGCAGCAAGCATTTTTCTGGGAAGGAACAGATAGTATTTTGCCCTTTGTGGTTCTACAGGTAAGAGGAAAGTTATATTGTTGGTACCAATATATAAGATAGGAAACAAGCATCTGTGATTTGAGTATGTGTACATCTGTCTCTCTCTGTGGGTCTGGGTGTGCGCGCGCTCGCGTACACAGCACACATGCAGAATGCAGAGGTAGAGATGAGTGGCTTCCTTGATCACTCTCCACAGTCTCTCACTGAACCTAGAGTTTGCTGATTGAGCTCGACTGGCCGGCTATCTAGCCCCAGGAATCCTCCTGTCTCTGCCTCCCTAATTCTGGCATTACAGAAGCACACAACTGTACTATGCCAAGAACTTTATTGACTGAGGCATCTCCACAGCCCCAAATTTCAAAGTTATAATAATTATTTATCAGTGTAAACTGCATGGGAGATTAATTTTGTAATAAAAGTTTACTATTGAGGAAAAACAGGCTTATTTGGGGGATGTTGTAGGATATTTTAAGGTCTGTTGCTTTTGTTTATGTTGCATTTGTTTAACTCTGTGAAGCTGTGTTACTGTGCCTGTCTAAAACACCTGATGGTCTAATAAAGAGCCGGATGGCCAATGGTGAGTCAGGAGAAAGGATAGGTGGGGCTCACAGGCAGAGAGAATAAATAGAAGGAGATATCTGGGAGAGAAAAAAGAAAGAGCAGGAGAAAAGAAGGAGGAGGACATCAGGGGCCAGCCACCCAGCCACACAGCCAGCCACAGAGTTCAGAGTGAAAGTAACATATACAGAAGTAAGAAAGATAAAAAGACAGGACAATTTAAAGTTAAGAAAATCTGGCAAGAAACAAGCCAAGCTAAGGCCAGGCATTTATAATTAAGAATACATCTTGATGTGTGATTTATCTGGGAGCTGAGTAGGGACCCCCCCAAAAGAAATAAAAAAACAACCAACATTTTGGCATTCCAATGTGGGTCTGTAGAAATTTGAACAGCAGGGGGAAGTAAGAATTGATTTAATTGAGGTCTGTCATTGTGACTGATGAGACCTCACTTTCCTACAGAGCCATAGCTTGCTTCTCTGAAATGCAGCATTGTGTTTCCAGGGAACACACAAGTGTGTGTTGTGCCTGATTTTGTAGGATATTTTAAGGTCTGTTGCAGTTCTGTACAACCCTTATACTATAGGTTCCTGTAGTGGGTAGCCATTCCAGCTTTGATCTGGAAGTTCTAACCCCCGTTGAGGCTTTGGTAACTGTCACGCCTAAAGGCAGGGCCAAGAGAGGACTCTAAAGATCCAAGATTCGGATGGGCCACATCTCTTGGTTCCTGGACCCAGGACACTGAAGGTAGACCGAGCGGAGTTCTCCAGAGAACACTGCCAGACTGTGCTACACCTTTCCCAGACCCTGCAACCTATCCCTTCACTTGTAAGTTACCCCACAAAATAAACCTCCCTTTTAACTATGTGGAGTGGCCTTAATAATTTCACCAATAGGTTCCTTTATTTGGGGAGGTGGGTTAAAAGTACCAGACCTGGGCCAAGCTGCCTGGCAGAATTCCAGCAGAATGGGACTCCAGAAGCTGTGTGGGACTCTCACTTCGGTTTTTCATCCATCCATGAAATGAATAAGAACGGCAAAGGCCATTACAAATACCAGGCAAATCATGCACTTATAAATGATATTCTTCATTCTACTTTTAATATAACAGTGTAAAACTATCCTTAGTCATTTTTGGTACAAAAGAAGATAGTGGGCTGGATATGGGTCATGGATGATAGTTTATTAAAATTTCCTTTTCCTCTTGAATGGTCATTATCAGCATTTCAGAGCTAGTATGGGCCCCCAGCTAGCTCTGTCTTGTGGACACTATTTAATGAACTGTTCAAGCAATTATCTTGGATTTATTTATTTTATGTTATGTGTATGAGTGCTTTGTCAGAATGTATGTACATGCACTACCTATGTGCCTGGTAGCCACAGAAGTTAGAAAAGGGTGTCAAATCCCTTGAAACTGGAGTTACAAACAGTTGTGAGCTCCTACCTGGGTGCTGTAAACTGAACTGGAGTCCTCTGGAAGAGCAGCCAGTGCTCTTAACTTTTGAGACACCTCGTCACTCCCCAAACCTTTTTTTTTTTTAAATCTTAAAAGTTTTAAAGACAAATGTGCATGTTTCTTTGGAATGCTATTTTGTGATGAATAATGTTCTGTTATTTAATAAAAATTTAATCATAGGTTTTAAGAAGAATAACTACAAAATTGTGAACTATGCCCATTATAAGTTTTGGGACATTGATTATAGTTAAATATTTAAAGAAACAAAAACCTTTAAAGAAAGAAAATTAGTAATAGAGATAAGTATGTTTTGAAAAGAACCTTAGGTATCTATAAAACTCATCATTTACCAAGTTATTTTGGGTGGCAGATCTGAGTGGTAAAATAATCACTTTTAAAAACACCCAGCCAGGCTTCTTGTGCAATTCCAATTGGTGGGATCTTGGTTGGGAATCAATTTCTGCAGTTACTCCAATCGCCTTGTTTAAGCAACATCTCTATAAAATTCACGATGTTTCCTCGAACACCAAACTACTAGACGCACTGACAGCTAGTGTTATAATTTTACAAATGGCTTAAAACTACGCAAATTTTATGTCCTTTTTAAAAAATAAATTAAACAGAACCATCTGATTATTTGGAAGAAAATGACTGAGGTAGAGCTCTTCCAGTCAGGTATCTACAGCTCATACAGAACTCCAAACCAAGCACAGACTAGAGGACGAACCAAATAAGGATTTCTCAGTCACCAGGAATATATGCGCTTTAAGTCGAGAACTGGATGCATGCTTTTCCTGTTTCCTGTGTCTTCAGAGCTTGCAGTCGGCCTTAGGACCCGGAGCCCCGGAGCAACGTCACGCCGGTTTTCTTCCATGTGCTTCATTTTCATTGGCTTCATCCGCTGCCTCTTTCACCCCGGCCTCCAAGCAGCTTCCTCTGGTATGCACGCTTTCCCAGGTTCTTCCTCTTTCATGATGATCTCCTTCTCTGCTATTTCCCTTACTCCAAGACTGTGTAAAATACCATCTTTTTTTTTTTAATTTTCAAAATTTGGAGAACAACCGCTCAATAGAATTATGATAACTAATATTTCAAAAACTTTTCAGAAACCGTCTAATCGCTAGTGTTGATTGACTCTTAAAATAGTTTCACATATATCAGTTCACTTAATCCTCTCGGTAACTCTAAGTTTCTTCACAGCACAACTGAGGAGGGTGGGATTCAGGGTGATCATACTGTGATTAACAAGATCCAAAGACAAAAAGTGGGGACCCCAGCACTGTCCGAACGCCCCAAACTCCACCATTTCCCCAGTTTCCAGTGTCTTTGCCAAAGCACCCCAAAGAGGGTCTCCACTCTGTGTCCCTTACCTCAGGAGTTTTTCCCTCCTTATTGGTCCCCATTGTTCTTTCAGCTCACTTTCCCTACAGACTCACGACAGCAAACCCCATCACATGAATGCCATTTGATGGCTTGCCAAACAAGCTCACAAATGTTGTCATTATGAAGTGAATTTCATTCTTTTCTTCATCTTGCAGATGAGTAGCTCAAGTTCAGAGAGATGAAACTTCCTTATTAAAGGTTCTTCAACTCGGGAGGAGGCAGACATGTTTGCTTGTTTTCCTTCCTTGCTGTATGGGAATGCCTTGAACTTCAGTATCAGAATATACTCTTCACCAGAGGGGAAAACTGTTCCCTGGGCTATTATGGTTGAAAGAGGTGGTGCTGAGTGAACGTCACTGAAACTCAGAATCAGAGGGAGCTTTGTCCAGAAGGTGGTTCAGTTAGCCCCTTGTTTTTATTTTCTTCCTCTGGGAACCCTGGGCTGACTTTAAGTCCCCTTTGGAAGCCGTTAAGCTTTGCCCATTCTCCGGGAGTACCCACTCCCCTCTCCTTCATTGCCACTAAGTGTTATTTTACACACACTCTTCTCCATCTTAAAAGCCAGGGTTAAAACAAATAAGCGAAAGGAAAGCGGAATAAAAAATACTTCTATTCTTTTCTTGACCTGAGACCAGGCGAATAATTTCTCCCTGAGTCACATAGCTCATAGCGGCATGCGACTAGCCAAGCCATAACCCCGTCCGTCCTCCCAAATTCTATCCTAAGGCTCTTCCACCTTTACATGACAGATGCCGCCTTCCTGAAGGAAAAGTCATTTAAAGGACCATTACGGAAATGACAAACTGGGATCCAGAAACAAACTCGTAAGAGAAACGGGAGATCAGCAGCTGCGGTGGGGCGGAGGAGGCCATTTCATCACAGGGCACTGGTTCAATGTTATGCCTTGGCGTGATTTGAGCTTCTCACATCTAGGTACAACTCTTCTTTCTTTCGTAAAACTCACTGCGGACAATTATCTGCTTGGGGGAAATAAACGAGGCTTTACAAAAGCCGGTGTTTCTTTCTCTACCATGCAGAAAGAGAGTTCAGAATGTATCTCCCGAACGACTTAGCAAAGACGTGAAAAATATTTTTTAACCTTCACACATAGCCCTGGAGATGTGAAAACCTAACCACACACGAGACAAGTATGGAAAATACAAATGATCGAATATCTTTTCTAAGGTAATCCAATAAAACATTTAATTTATGAGCACTCCAATAAAGGAATGGACACACAAACACAATTCTTCACTGAACTGAAACAACAGAAAATGATCATTTCAGTCCTCAGCAATGCTGATGTGCAATGTTATTCACTATTAAAAATAACTATAATATTCTTACTGTAGATTATTTGATCATTTAGAATACTACAGTGCTTTTGGACAGACGCTCTGAGTATGAATTCTTACGGAGTTCTGTAACATGAAGGGAACTGGATTTAATGAAACTATACCACTAAAGACCTTTTAAGATTCTTACATTTTTTTGTCTTAAAAGGTTTATTTTATTTGTGGGTGTGTGAGAGAGACATTTGTACAAGTACTCACAGAAGCCAGCAGGGGGCCCTGGAGACCTTGGAGCTGGAGTTATATGCATTTATGAGTCACCCCAGGTAGGTGCTCAGATCCAAACACTGGTCCTCTAATAGAACAGTTAGTGCTATTAACTGGGAACACATCTCTCTGTCTCTCAAATTCCCAAATATTTTAAAAATTTCCATTGTTTCTGTGGCTGGAAATGGCACAATAACCGACACTTGGATTGTTCCACCTCACGAACCATGGCGGACAACTAGAAACCGAGATAAACGATTGAATAACTTTGCTCACTAGCTGATAACTGGAAGAGCATAACTATGACCCCTAAGAGAAATTAGATAAATGAGACTAGCCTTGTATCATTTTAGAATTTGTCTAGAGGCACTTTCCTAAACTGTGGCCAAAAGAAGGTGAACTCAGTCCACAGCAGCATCACAGATTATGGGGTCAGAGGTGAGAGAGTTCATGGAGGCAGAAGCAGTTAGAATTTGGGGCATCAGAGAACTAGAGAGGGAGGGTTCCAGGAATTTGCACAGAGGCCCACATTGCCCTTGAACAGTAGGCAGAAAGCACATGTGACAGTATTAGAGTACAATGGGGAAGATTTCAAACAGGGCTGAGAAATGTGGAGCTTCTGGCCATCTCAAAGAGCCGCCATTGTACACTTGAAGCATTCCATAGAGAACCCAGAAGAGCGAGTCTTTAACAGAGGGGCTCTTTACCAGGGGGGGGCTAGACCAGACCTTGTGTAACTGCCGTGCTAGGCCTGTCCTACCAGGACCCAAGCAGAAGGTTCTGAAGGACTGAGTTGATTGATGTTACTGAACTGCCCATTTAACACCATTAATTCAACACTAAAAAAATAGCCAAATCCAGTCATTTGACAAGTAACATTTATGATGTCCAGCATCAATCATAGCTTGCCTTCCATTCAAAGAAGCAAAATCTACTACCCATAATTAGAACTAGTATCCCGAAGTGCATTGAAATAGAATCAGAGGTGGAGAAGTTGTTGCAGTTAGTGAATGAAGATTTTAAAGTAACTGTTATTATCTTCACGGAATTAAGGGGGGAAATATAAATATAATGGGAAGAGAAATGTGAGATTTTTAAACCCAGAAACGTTGGAGCTGAGAAAAAGATTGTCTTGGTTAGCAATAAGTTTACTGGATGAGCTTGCCAGAAACTTAAGTGCTGTAGAATTCAACGGGAGCATAAAGACTGAAATGATGTGAACTAAAGTATGTATAGGGAAAAAGAACTGAAAAGGTTTGAATGGAGTCTAGGGACTTCTGGAATAGTGTCACGATATCAATAGGGAAGCATTCCAGAAATTGCCTGGTGTCTGTACAAAAAAGTGAACGACCCCAAGGCTTACGAATATGATGAAAACCATGTTCATAGACCCAAGAGGTTCCAGTGACTCCCCAACACAATAATTACAAAGAAGCATACAGCAAGGCATTGCAGTAAAGGTTATGAAAAATTAGTAAACATCACCATTAAAACAGAGAAAGACTGCACATTCCAACGTTTCTTCTCAGATTTTATTAAAAAATAATGAAAACCAGAAGACGATGAACATCTTTAATAATGTTCTGATAGAGAAAACCTGGTCATCTAGAGGTAAAAACAGCCAACAGTAAAAATAGCCATCATAAACGAAAGTGAAAAATATCTCAGATAAACTCCCAAGGTTGGGTATGGTGGCTCATGCCAATAATCCCAGCATTTGGGAGGTGGAGATAGGAGAAGCAAGAGTTCCAGTCAGCCTGAGTTGGAAAGTGAGTTCAAGGCCAGCCCAAGCTACCTGAGAGCCTGTCTCAAAAAACAACAAAAATTATATATACAGCAATACATAAATATATATTTATTATATTGCTTAAATATATCCATGTACTTGCCGGGCGGTGGTGGCGCACACCTTTAATCCCAGCACTCGGGAGGCAGAGCCAGGCGGATCTCTGTGAGTTCGAGGCCAGCCTGGGCTACCAAGTGAGTTCCAGGAAAGGCGCAAAGCTACACAGAGAAACCCTGTCTCGAAAAACCAAAAAAAAAAAAAAATCCATGTACTTATATACTACATATATTGACGGATATATAATTGTACAGATTAAATTTTACATATATAAAATTTATAATTATATATAAAATGTTTATATAAAAACATAAAATATTTTTGACATACTCAGGCATAGTGGTGCCTGCCTATAATTCAGACTGAGCTAAGAGAATTGCTACAATAGTTAAAAGCCAGCCAAGCTACATGGAACTTACTTAGGTTGGCATGCTAGGTTTCCAAAATGGAATCTGGAGTCCTAGATTGGTAGAATATTTAAAGAAAGAAAAACAACTTCTGCTTTCTTGTTAATGAAAAGCTAATTGACCAGATAGAGCAAGATGGATTACATGTTGTGTATTTATAGCTTGTGTAAAAGCAAAATGCATGAGACCAGCACAAAGACCCGGAGCTCACGCCCGACACAGGGCTGATCAGCAAACAGCCCTGTCCCTTTGGCAGTACAATTTAACATCTGTTTCCCATATGACTTAGGAATCCTGCCCATTCTTCAGCTAAGAAAGATAAAGCCCGAGCCTTACAAAACTTCAGCACAGTTGTTCACAGATGCCTTCTCTTTTAGATTTTCTTCATTCTTGAGGATTTCATATGGATATACAGTGAAATCTGATCATATCTATGCTTTATTTCCCCCATCCATGCCTTCCCTCAGATCTCCCAACATGTCTCTTATATAAATTCATGTCTTTTTTTGTTTTTGTTTTTGATGACTCACTAAGTCCAGTGAGTAATGCCTATATGTGCATGGAAGTAGGGCCATCCACTGGAACACAGGAAACCTCCCAGTGGTCACATCCTCCAAACAAATGACTCTTTCTCTTGCCAGCAACTGTCAATTACCAGCAGCTTCTCAGTAAACGGGTGGGCCTAGAGATGATTTACCTAGAGATCATACAGACTGAATTATTGTCTGCTTGATCTTGTGCAGGTAACTACAGCTCCTGTGGTTTTTTTTTTTTGTGTGTGTGTGTGATAGTCATGCCATGCCCAGAAGGTAGCATTTCACAGTTTTCCTCCCCATTCTCTGGCTCTTAGGCTCTTCCTGTCCCCTCCCCTTTGATGTTCTCTAATCCTTGGTCGTGGTGGTAGTGGTAGTGGTGATAGGGTTGATAGAGGTGGTTGATGTAGGGTTGAGCACCCAGTCTTTGTTCTCGGCACCTCAACAATTTCTGCTTCTTTCCACTGACTGCTGCCCACTGTAAAAAGAAACTGTTGCAATAGCGGCTTGACCACAATGAGGTAACCGTTTCCTGGTTGGATTTGAGGTCTGCTCTTCAGAAGGCATTTCGTGCCTGCTACTGCAATCTCGGGTCAAACATTTTGAAGGTCATAGGCCCTAGGTTAGAACTTGATGTTCTTATTTGTTAACTGTTGTTGCTAAATGATCATGCTGTCAAATTTCCTTCTAACTATTTATGTTTATACCCCCAGACATGAGCTGCTGTCTATGGTCATATTTTGTTTGTGCTTTAACAAATAAAGCTTGCTTGAAGATCAGAGGGTGGAGCTAGCCACTATCATAGAGGCCAGGCAGTGGTGGCACACGCCTTTGATCCGAGGCACTTGGGAGGAGGAAACAGGAAGGTCAGGAGTTCAAAGCCACCCTGGCCTATACAAGATTGATCCAGACTGAAAGGGAAACAGAGACAGGCAGTGGTGGAACATGCCTTTGATCCCGGCACTTGGAATCTCACGCCTTTAATCCCAGCACTAGGGAAGTGGAGACAGGAAGTGATATGGCTGGATGGAGGGAGGAATATAAGGCAGGAGGAGACAGGAGCTCAGGCTGAGGATTCAGTAGAGGTAAGAAGTCTCTCTAGTGACTGACTCCTTTACTGATCTTTCAGCTTTTACCCCATATCTGGCTCCAGGTTTTTATTATTAAGACCAATTAGGATTCATGTTACAGCTGTCAAACTTGGACAAATGCTTTCTTTATTTAGGACAAATGCTCATCATGGCCATATACTGGAGATAAACCAAAAGCTTATCAAAGGGTGAGTGATAAACAGATTTTGCTATATCCTTACAATGAGATGGTATTTGGTCAATAAATTGAAATATTGGTATATGTAATAACAAGAGAGACTCTCCAAAATACTATTCTGAGTGAATGTATGTTGCGCAAATCCTAAATGGTCTTATAATAAAAACCTGGAGCCAGATATCAGGATGAAAGCTGGAAGATCAGAGAAAGAGAGCAAGCCACAGCTACCATGTCTTAACTCACCAACCCCTCAGCCTGACAGAGCCTCTGCAAGGGAGTAAATCCCTGTCTCTTCCCACCTTATATTCCTTTCTCTGTGCAG